ACCCTAAAAAAATGATAAGTCCACCCGAGACTCAACAGTAATATTATCTACTCTTACTATATCCACTACAACCTCTAAAGGTAAATCTATATTTTACTATGTACCGGGTGATTCATTTAAGTGGGTACACTCGTTATCTCGGAAAGTATAAATATTTTCGGAATTTGTTTTCTAGAACAGTACAGAAACAAGCTTCTCTACAGTGTTATGCTTAAATTAATTTTTGATGAGCTTTATTTTCGGGGGTAAAATCATTACCTACTGTTGAATTTAAAATAGCAACTTATAATAAAAATCCAACAAAAGAAGGCGCATTATTTAAAATAAATTTTGAATTTGAAATTTTTAATTACCTTAAGGTCGTTTACGAGATTTTCCACGTTAATTTCAAATTGAAGGAGAGTAGTGGTGCATTAATAATACGCCGCTCGCCGNGTGATAGAAATGTGTATTTTAATCATGATTATGCCTTAATATATAATTTCACAATAATAGATACAAATTAATACTTAAAGACACATTCATTGTTTTTATTTATATGGCATAGCTGTTAGTTTGCATTAAAAATCCCTATGTAGTTCTCTGTGATTGAAATGTGTCTCATGATGAAGCACATGTTTTGATATGTAATTTCATTAAATTTGATACAAATTGTATACATATAGATACAGTTTTTGTTTGAATTTATATAGAATATTAGTTTGCCTATGAATATATAGTTTGGATTTCCTTTTCAATATATCAAATCTGTTTCTTTGTCATAGGAATATGTATTTTGTTTAGTTAGGCATTTTAAAATATAATTGTACACTATTAAATACAAATGAAATACTTATAAATGTATAATTTGTTTTAATTTGAAGTTTTTTTCTGTTATTGGAATGTTTCTAATGATCAGACATTTGTTTATATATATAATTTTATAAGTTTTGATGCAAATTAAATACTTTTAAGCGCAATTTTTGTTTGAATTTATGTAGAATATTTGGTACAGCTTAAAACACTTATAAATACATTATTTATTTGAAATTGGAATTGAAGGGTTTTTTGTTTGTGTTAAAAACCCTTCTGACTTATAATAATGATTAATTGTTTTGTTGTGATAGGAATGTTTTTTATTGCCATACATTCTTATGCTGCATAATTTCAATATAATCAATACAAATTAAATATTTATAATCGGGTTAATTTTTGTGATTTTTTTACTTTGCAGTTATTTTGTACTTAAAAACCCTATGACTTTAACATTTATTTAATAATTATCTATTTCTTTGTGATTTTAGTAGAATAATAGTAAATATTCAAAAATAATATTTACAAATCGATAAATCCCAATAAAAAAATTTGCTATCCAAATCTCAAAATTACATCTTCATAATTTTAACTTTAATTAGGTAATTCATTGTAAAGTTATCAATACATTATTCTAAAATCATATTTTATTATTTTAAGAAAATTGTACTGATAATTTTCAAATGGTTTCTAAAAGAATTAGTTTTTTGCCATTATTTTCATATATAAAACCTACATATTTGGTTAAATGGATTGATAGATATAGATTATAAGCCATTTACATTAAGTAAACACAGTTAAATATGTTTTAATGACATGTTTAAAATTGCATAATTTCCTAATTTGTTTAATGTGTATATTTCCATGTGTTAAATAAATTTATCAGCATTTTCTATATTTTTAGTATCTATAAAAAATAATTCCTGGAATGTGTTTAAAAGTATGTATTAATTTATCAATGTATATATAATATTTATATAGGAAAATAATCTAAAAACACTAACTCAATTGGAGACCATTTGAGAAACATGAGTACAAACTTCTTAAAAAGGGATTAATATGAATTAAGGACATTGTAATTAACCTTTTTCCATATACTTGGTATCTACAAATTGGTAACTGGAATACATCTCATTAAACTGGTACAACAGGTGATAATAACTACTTTTTTATAAAACAATTGTTATAAATCATGGTTTTTCTACCTTATAGAGTGTCCGTTATAAGAAGGTGGTTTTAATGTATATTATGGCAGCTCTTAAATGAATCATGGTTGAACTTTTATGAATGCACCCCCTAAGATAGTTCTAAATAAATATAATAAAATCCACTCCAATTTTGAAAGCTTTATCTCAATATTATGCCTCAAGTTACCTAAATTTTTTAAATTTGAATTAAAATGTAGTTTTTTTGACTTCATGAACTGGAAGCTAAGGTTGAATCCTGGCAAAATAGAATCTTCTATATTTTATCTAAATAATAAGCAAGCTAATGCCAAACTAAAAATTACTTTCAGTGGTCATAATATCGCACATAATCCATGTCCAAAATACCTAGGAATTACTCTTAATAGGTCCCTTACCTTTAAAAACCACATAACTTGTGTTATGGCTAAGATTTGCGCAAGAAATAATATAATCTAAAAACTAGCAGGCATAGATTAGGGTACTGATTCATTTACACTAAAAACATCTTCAATTGCATTAGTGTATTCAGTTGCGGAGTATTGCGCACCTGTATGGATCAACAGCAACCACACTAAAAAGATAGACTCTCAACTAAACAGTTATGTGAATCATAACNAACACAGCTGCAACGGTCAGATCTATAAAACGCTGCAAAGAAACAATACATTTTATTTTCAACGTGATGAATGAACGTAATCTACAAACAAAGGTTTATATTATTATATTGTAATTTACTTACACGAATTCAAACTAGTACGAATAATTTTAGTCAAATACGCTGTGGCCGGTGTAATACTATACGTTAAAAATTTGTTTATTTTATTTTATATCATTTATAGTGTAATGAAGTAAAAAATATAATCGTCGAAACTGAAGAAAAATGTATACCGTGGTTAGCACGGTATATTGTAACAAACCATATCAATATCAAATCAAATTACCATACTAAAATATACTTAAATTTTTTGAATTCGTTAAACAGCGAACAACTCACAGAGTTAATAACGTTGGAAACAGAAAAATTCATTTAAGTGAGAAGGAATATTTTATTTTATTTTTATTTTTTGTATGATGATTAAGGAACAGATTTATATGTAATTTAAAGCCGCAAAAAAACCAATAGATAGGTGAACTTTAAAATCTGTTTACCATTATCTCTTTTTCAAACATTTTATAAGCTGTTTTTTAGGGATTTTTTTTATGTATTTATGCGCTTTTTTGTAAATTTTAAGTGTTTATGAATCCGTTTCTTAATGATGATGAATACGATATATTTTAAAATAATATCTCGCGTATCTTGTTAGTCATTATTGAGTCGGGGCGAGGTGAGTCCTATTTGTAGGAAAACGTTGAACAATTTGAAAAGTTTGGTACAGGATGATGACCCTAGCCAAGAATAAACCGATGAGTACGTCGTTTGAAGACTTGAAGACATTATTGATAAAGGCGAATCAAGGAGGAGGGGACAAATTGATGAATACTCCCCTGCTTGTAACGGGAATTCTTGAAACATGTGCTTATAGCACAGTATGTCGAATACGTTTCATTCTGATCGATTTAATTTCTTGTTGGTATAATATAATTCTATTTTGTTTTATCATAGGTGTTTAATACTACCAGCCCGTGGACGTTGGATGTATTATACTGTTTGAGTGATCTATACCGTCAACCGAATTTAAAATTGAAGTTCCAATTTGAAATAGATATTTTATGCTAAAATTTAAAAGTTAAACTCGAGGTGAAAATATCAATCATGTAGTAAATCATTTTCTGTAATCTCAAATCTTATATTTCTGTTATTTCGGATTTAAAGCCTGAAACGAATTATTTCAATAACAATGCATAGACAAATTGTTGCATACGAACGTCTTACAATTGAAATAGATATTTATCTTCTCGTAAATGTCTGCGTTGTCTCTCTATCGGGTCGACAGCAGTTTTTGGATCTGGTTTTTTTCTATTATCTATTAGTTTGAATTAATGTATTTTTACGAAACTTAATAAAAATACAATACCGCTGTTTACAATGTTTAATTTTTTTTTTTTCAGTTTTTGTAGTGTTTTTCTACTATGGTTTTATCGAATTTACAGTTTAACAAAAATAATGTTATAAATTGAAAAAAATTTAACCGTGGAAATGCCATGGTCGATTCGAAAATCACAAAAACCATAAATAGCTAATAATTAGATTTGCATGCATGCACACGCACGTATAATATAAAAAAATGTTTTGAAATGCTTGTTGATCGTTTTTGTCAAAATTTTATCCTAAAACAATTATTGAAAAAAAAAAAAAACTATTATACATTACCACTTATTACAACTTACAATATAATGAATCTTATCATAAATTTATTGTCAAGCATCTTTGTTAAAATAATTGAATGTATATATTATCGAATAAAACTAAAAAAACAAAAAACTAGAATATATTAAACTACTAAAAATAACTCGAAAACCTAGTATTTTAAACATATTAAACATATTTCAAACAAGGCAAATATAACCTATCTGGTCAATTCAATAATAATCTTGTCTGTGACAACTATTTTATCACCCACGTGACCAAAGTATATATATGATTATATTGTAATAATGATTAACTATAATTCTGTAGAATTTTACAAAATATTTATTTACCTATCAGTACTTTACTAAAATATTAGTGTCCGGAACTATTTATTTATATATATAACACAAGAGCATTGATTTTATTGTACTTGACTTACTTTCTCTAAAGGTTTAATTTGAATGCATCTCAATAAACAGGTATTATTAGTTATAGATAGAAAGAATATAGAAAAATGCTGATAATGTGATATGACACATAAATATACACGTTAAAGACATACAAATATTATGTTATGTCATATAAATTTTTAAAGATTTTAAGTGAAAAATCGTAAAATCATTTATATTTTACATTCATATCCGTGAATACATAGTTCTGGATATTTCTGAAGTTTATAGTTAAATACTGATAGAAAAATAAAATTTATAATATTTATTAATATAAATATAATAAGACATTATTTCATTATAATCATGTTTTTTCAAATATCTGTAAAAATAATATTTAATAATTCTTAACCCATATTATAGTAGTGTTATATAAGTATTATATATGAAATATATTGATTAGGATATCTATTAGGTAGTGTATGTGTGTATAAATATTAATTTATTAATATAATGTAAAATTAAATTCAGATATCCAATATTATATGTATTAACTCATAGGTATTTTTTGTACATTCCACAATATATTTTTATATTTACATCAGAAAAAATGTGTTGTTTTATTAATATTTACAAATTAATAAAACCCAATGTCATTTTTTTATGAAAATCTCAAAAATATACCTTATATATTACAATTTAAACTAGTTAGATTATCGTAAATATGATCAATACATTGTCCTACATTCAAATAATCATATTTTAAGAAAATAGTACTCATATTTCTCAATTGATCTTTAATAATTTTACCATTATAGACCTATATACCCATATATACCTTTTATAACTATTTAATTACACAGTTTTATTTGTTTTGAATGATATTGTTATACTTTTATAACTTCCTATTGCGTTAAATGTGTATATATTTACGTATCATATCAATTTATCAGTATTTTCCTATTTATTTACATATTATAAAAAGGATATCTAGAATATGTTTTATGAGATGTATTCAAACAAAATTTTTAATGAAATTTAATCAATTTTCATAATATTATTGATCTTTTACATTATTTTCTTTGAATACATAGTTCTGGAAAGTATATTTATAGTTAAATACCATTTGAAAGAAATATTACATAAAATTCCTCAAAATTATAAATATAATAAGATAGTTTTACAGTATAATCATGTTGTTTTAAATATCTTAGATATACTANGAAATAGTAGTAAATATAAAATAAAATAGAATTGGGTTAACAAAGAATAAAGTTGATATGTAATTAAACAATGGTAAACCAAAAGATTAGGTTAGAAAGAAAGGTTATGTGATTATAGATTTTTGATCCAGTGGATGGAATCTGGGTTTAGAAACAGAAGATCTCTTTTGTTGCCTTAAAACGCGCAGATAGAGTAGTTTGACATTATGTGGTCGATAGTTTGCTATTTAGTCGCATGGAAGTGATTCGATTAAGCTATTGCTTTTTTTATCTGTGTAGCATTTGGTTACAGCTGCCATATCTTGTTATGAGCCTATTTAAGGTTGACCAGTCTCTACGACGGATGTCCTTTTAGCGTGATGTAAGGTCAGTCACTGTGTTATGTAAGTCTAGAGTCTAATCAAAAAAAAGAGATACATGGTTTCTGAAAGCAAATTTTATCTCGTTACAATTTATTTTTGGCGGTAAAAGCGTTTGTTGGTAACAAGGGATATTCGAGGATATTCTGTGCCGCGAGAAACAGGACAAGAGGATAAACCTTTGCTTACGGAAAAATGATGCTGAACGGAGTTTAAATGATAACAATAAAATTTGTTAACAATACGTCAAATGTCATATTATGGTAAAATATTTACATATGCATTGTGTCCCACCATGTTCGACAGATTTTTTTAGTACTGTTAATATTAAATTTTTTTCTTAATCAATAAAATAATATCTTATGCGATAAGGAATTAGCACGGTAATTTTTTACCTTCTATTGTTTTCACGGCTATTTTCAAAAAATTAAAACTGCTGTAACTAAGAAACTATTAATCGGATACGAATGTATGATACATTGACATTTTTAGAATAATATTTTTTACAAAATAACTATTCTGAAAAAGTTTTATTGTGAATAAATACAATTATTATATTTGTATTTCTAGGATGATAATAAAACTTTATTTTTTCTCCAAATCGATATCTCTCTCGAAGACAAACCGATTGAAAACAAATAATCGAAAAAAATTCAATATCAACAACGCTAACAAAATCCGTCTAACATGGTGGAACACACTGTACATTTTCTTTAATAATATTTATTTAATATTATACCTATTTTTCCGTTTTAGAATAAGAATGTATTGGTTTTATAATGATGTTTATTTTAATTTCATTTTTTATGTGAACACTTTTTCGACCAGAAGGTTTACTACGATTCGTATACGATGTAGACCATTTCTGGAAGGATAATTCCTTGAGGTGGTACTTTAAGGAGATAATTTTTCGAATTTCTTAAGAGTTTTCTCATCAAATGTGAATAGCCGAAAAAAAAATAATGATAAAATGTACGAGATATTAGTAAAATATTATGATTTTTTTTTATGTAGACAACTTTTCTACCAAAAATTTTGCTCTGATTTACAATGGTAGTAATTTTTCTAAGAAGAAATCCGACTGGGAAGGTACTTTAAGGAGATCATTTTTCGATTTTCCCAAGAGTTCCCAGTAAATGGGAAAAACCGGAAAAAAAACATAGGAGAACGTGAAAATCGGTACAATATTAAACAAATATTAGTAAAGAAAAATATAAATATTGCCTATTTAATGATTGTACCATAATATGACATATATATATATTGCTGATAAAGATCATTATGAACTGAACTCCACTCAAAATCGCTTTTTCGTTAGCAATGGTTCATCGTTGCTTACAAAAT